ACACTTTGCACTTATTCTTCTAAATCCTTCTGTCTGCTGATCAGCTTCCACACAAACCAGTTCTCAGGGTATTCCAGTTAGCATCTTCAAAACCACTTCTTACCAAGATCAGCATCTATCCAAGAGAATGTCAATTTTTCCTCAACTAAGGCAGATACATTGCCTGCACTTTGTATGTGTAGAGGATCTGAAGGCTGCTTCATGCTGATAAATCTCAAAGAGAGGAGAGGAGAGAACAGGGAGAAACTAATGGTGTTTCAAACCACTCATTGTGAATAAGCTGCTACTAAATTCTTTGGTTTCCATTTGATGCATCAGTAATAGAGAGTATGATTATCAAATAAGCAGTGGAAAGTGTACAGATTTCTTCAAAGCAATAATACTGCAAGCAGCTAGCAGGAACCTCAGCCAAACACCGCATGCTCTCCTTGCCTCCTTTGTCACAATAAAATTGTCATTCCTTGCCAAATATTTCAGCATCATTTCATCATACTATTTAACAACTGTAAAAATAATAAGAAAAAAGCCCAAGAATTTAGAGTTCCTCAAAAGAAAATGTCAGTTGATTTTAATGAACAGAGTATGCAGAATACTTAGAGCAAATACGGTTTTTATTATAAATAGATTGAGTAGCATTTAACTAAATACACTGAAGGATATTATATAGTGCACAATGGTATTAAAATAGTTCGCTAAAGATTTAGATTTGCTAAAATTATAATGGCAATTTATATTGCCAATTTCATGGTCATTAATCTTAAAATATTTTACAGGGCATTAAACATTGCTTTCATAAAATACTATGTGTATTATATGGCAAACAAAAAAGAGGGATGCTCATCACTTGGCATACAAATAGGACTATGAAGATTTTGAACTGCTTTGCACATAATTTCCTCAAATGAGGGCAAATACTGATTTCTGCTTAGGTAAACACTTACCTTTCCTCCTTTATTTTAATGATCTCAAATACTGTACCTGGGGCAAATTTCCAAAAAGAGAGATAACATCTTTCTTAACTGTGAATTCAGATCAAAGTAAAGATAAAAAATAGGTTCAACATTTTTCACCTCAAGATCTAATTAACTCAGTTTTCATTTACAGCTCTTCCAATTAAAATGTCACATTTAGTATATTTATACATCTTAAGAGTCAGTCTGTATAAACTGGGGACACAGAAAACAAGCATGATAGGAGAGAAATGCATATATCCTGCTCTCCTTTTGAAAGATTCAGAGCTTGTTGATACAGCTGGCCTTATGGGCTGTTGATCTTCCTGGCTTAGCCTGTAATTAAAAAAAAAAGTTCTTGTGCAATTACTTGAACTGAACAAGAAAAAAAAAAAAATCAGACTTGTCAAGCTAAAAAGCCCAACAACCTATTTTGGTAAAATTAATATATTTTTACAATTGTTAAATTACTGATATCAAAGTTAATATAGAACATGACACATACAGCATACCATTTCTGAGTTTCAATACAAAAAGGGGAGATTGGTTTAGGTTCAGTAAATACTTCAAAACTGTAACCATTTGTTGTAGAGAAAGGCACAGTGAAAGATAAACATAGACCGGAAATGGAAACTTCATAACACATGCTTGTAACTTTTCAAAAAAGTTTTTTTCTGGCTAAAGTTTTCTGTGCTTGCTCTCTAAGCAAAGATGAAGCCCAGTTGGAGAAAAGGAGTTTAGGCAAATTCCAGTGTTTCTGGGTGGAGGGGCAGTGAAGGGGGAGGAAGAGAGAAGTTCTTTGGCATAGCAGAATGAGTACGTCTTATAAACACACACACACACACACACACACACACACACACACACACACACACACACACACTAGCCAATTTGTAAAATAAATTCCATAGTGCTATAATTAGTTACAGTATTCCATAGTCCCAGAATTAGTGTAACATACGGCTTTAACATCAAATCTGATTTTGCATTGCTGTTTTACTATAGAGATGCTTCATCTGGAAAGCTTTTGGCCTTACATGTGTGAATTAGAGTGAAACCAGTAAAGATTTAATATTTTATTTCCAATTGCCTTTTGGTGACATTAATATCAGAGTTTTACACAAGTAAGCAATTGCAAAAGAGGTTACTCACTGTGTGCAGTAACTGAGGGTCTTTGAAATGTGTCCGTATGGGAACGTCTACACAGAAGAGCTAAAGTTGGAATAAGCTTCGTAACTTCAGCTACATCAACTGCGTAGCTTAAGTCGAAATAGCTTATTTTGGCTTTTGGCGCTCTCTATACATCAGGAAGTTGAAGGAAGAACACTCTTCCTTAGACTTCCGTTACTCCTCATGAAATGAGGGTTACAGGAATCGGAGTAAGAAGTCCTCCAGTTCAACATTATTTCGAAATAAAGGCTTGTAGCGTAGATGCGCTCTTCATTATTTCGGAATAACGCCAGTTATACCTAAATAACGCTGTTGTATTGACGTATCTTATAAGTGTTCTACTTCAGGTGTTGGTGTGTGGTTGCACCCCTGATCAGAAAATTTCAGAAGCAGTACCTGTCCGGGTCACGCAAGTGCTGTCTCCATCTCACCGCGCCATTGGTACCTTCAACCAAGCCACATGAACCGACACCCCTCAGTTCCTTCTCTTCCCTAGAGCCCCAAAATAGCAGGGTGAAGGGAGGCTAGTGGAGCACTGACAGAAGCATTCATTTTGAAGAATCTCAGTTACTGCACTGGGTAAGTAACCTCTTCTTCTTTGAGTGATATCCTTGTTAGTGCTCCACTTCAGGTGACTGTAGAGCAGAGCCCCACTGAGGACAGAAAGGGCTTTGGAGCAGTTTGAAGATAACGCTGCTAGACTTAGTGATGCATCCAGTCCCACGCCATGGGCAATTGCATCACGTTTTGTGAATATATGTTCAGAGACCCAGGAGACAGTTCTATATATGTCTGTGTGAGGGAGTGGAGAATGGAGTTAAAGGGTTAATGAGATTCTCTGGGCCCAGCCAGCCATGTCCCACTTTACTTGAAACCAATGCCAGGCCTGCAGGGAGGAGAAAAGGAAAGAGCCTGGCTCAGTTTGGGATAAGGATGTTAAGTAATGGTTAATTGAGTAGTCGATGGAATTTTCATCCACTACTCAAGTAGTCAATAGGCACTTGTACATTTCAAAGAAGGAATGCAGAACTCCACATGTAGCCTGGGGCTAGTGGGAAGTCCCGCTGACTCTGGGCTGCACGAAGCATGTCAGCTTTGAAATGTACAAGAGTCCCCAGTGGGGGCTCTTGTGCATTTCAAAGTGGCAGCACAGCAAGGAGCCGGGCTCAGCTGTGTGGTGCTCTTTCTTTGAAGTACCCCTTTTTCCCCCGCCCTTAGCTGCCTCTATCGGAGAGAAATCGACTAGTCCTTAACATCTCTACTTTGGGGCTGACTAATGAGGAGGCAGAAGCCTGGTTCAGTAATCTGAGGGCACGAACCAGAGCTTGCTCTTGTGGCTGCTAGACAGGCAAGTAAGCCCTCACTCCTACCCCCCTGGAAAAAAATGGGGGTAAGTTATTGAGAAGCCACAACAATGGGGAATCTGGATGCTTAGGGCCATACCCCAAATTTAACGACTTGGACAGTGAACCACACCCAGTAAGTATGTGGGCTACACCAGGCTGTATCAACTGTTCAAAAAGGAAAGAGAACTTAGTCTTTAGTGGCATTCAAACTCCTGAGTGAAAGGGCAGAGCGCTATAAACAATAACCAGTTAGGCTATGACTACACAGCAGAGTTATTTCAGAATAACTGATGTTATTTTGAAATAACCAAGTGCACGTGCACACAGCAAGCCATTATTTTGAAATAATATCAAGCTAGAGGACTTCTTACTCCGGCTCCTGTGACCCTCATTTCACAAGAAGTGAGTGAAGTCGAAGAAAGAGCGTTCTTCCTTCTACTTCCTGCTGCATACAGCGCGCCTAAAGCTGAATTAAGCTATTTCAGCTTCAGCTATACAATTCACGTAGCTGAAGTTCCAAATCTTAATTCGACTTTTGCCCTGCAGAAATGCCCTTAGAGTGAGAGTCCCAAAGGACTCAGGTGCCTCAGTCGCATTTTTGGGCATTATTGTGATCCACACAACTCCTTGGTTGCCACCTAAACAGCAGCCTACATTTTTGCTTCTGGGCATACATACAACTACTTCATTTCAGGGGTCTGGGTCACACCGTCACCCCCCCAAGTGATTCACAAACCACAGAAGATTGGTGTTCGGTAACACCTTATATCACACAGGCAAATTCACACACACAAAAAGCGAGTCCTTGCTAACCTTTAGCCTAGTGGATGGGTATTCACCCAGCATGAGGGAGAACCCTCGGTTTAAAGTCCCCCAAAAGGAAGAGAAGGGACCTGAACATCTCTAAGGTGAGGGCTCTAAATCAACAGGCTATGGAGCAGAGGTGGGGAACCTAAGGCTGGCCGCCAGCTTGCCTGGATCCAGCCCCCAAGGCTAAGGATCCCTCCCTCCCCGGCCCCACATAGGACTGAAACACACAAGATCTACTTGTTATTTTGAAAAAACTCCCGAAATAATAAAACCGCAATAGCATGCGTGGATCACAAAAATACTACAGGGAAGCCTCAAAATTAGCCAGAGGCAGGCTCCATTAATGTGGATGCGCTACCTCAATATAGAGCCCCAAGAATCACTGGGGAGTAATTAGTTTGAATTATTCTGGGAAATAGTTATTTCTAAATAGCAGCAGCAGAGTGTTCATGCTACCGCTATTTCGAAATAACTATTTCAGAATTAGCGTTATTCCTCATGGAAAGCAGGAGTTATTATTTTGAAATAACCAGCCCTTTATTTCAAAATAACTGGCCAGGTAGCATGGATGCTCCGCTTGTTATTTCAAAATAAGGGGAGTAATTTTGAAATAACTCCCTAGTATAGACCAGGGCCTAAGGCACCTCTCTTTCCTCTTCTTATAAATGAACCCTAGGTACCCAGCTGAGGCTTTGTGGTTTGTAACATTCTTCCTGTCATTTTCTGTGTGCCTAAAACTTAGGCACTAAGGCTTAGAACAGTGGAACCTAACTAAAACAAACAGCAAACAACCATATAGACTTATGTTTCTACAGGGATAAATTGGTATTTCAAGCATACTTACAATAGTAGTGGATAATCTCAACCAAACAGCTGACAAATACTGTAATAATAATTATTTTTATACAGGAACAAGTTGAAATTATGTTCAGTATAACCACAATTAGCACTTGTTTACAGGCATTACATCTGCAGTTTACATACAGTGATCACTATTTCAAGAGCAAAACAGATTTATTAAAATATATTAACATGCCGCAATGGTTTAATTAAGAATCAAGAAAGAGGACTTCCTTAAACTTTATTACAGCATGGATCACACCCTAGATGGCTCTAGCGCATTTTCCTTCCCACTCTGGATCACAGACCACGAGCCCTTCCATCCACAATCATATAATATCCCTACGGCAACTGCAAATGCTTATCAGGAAAAGTAATATTAGGAAATAATTTGATATTGTTTAGCTTCTTTCAATTACAGTTCCTGGAAACAAAGAGAGGCAGCACTGTATGACTACCTAGCTATCCATAGACAACAAGGGCGCTGGACCACAAACCACAGAGTGAGATCACAGATTTCAAGGTGTTCAGAAACTCTTGGGCATGTCTATACAGCAAAGAAAAACCCGCAGCTGGTCCATGACAGCTGACTCAGGTTTGCAGGGCTTGGGCTATTTCATTACTCAGTAGACTTCCAGGCTCAGTACTGGCTCTGCCTATTCCCATCCCCTCAAATGATGGGCAACATGGAGTTTAAGTAGTGGAGAATGGCTTGCATGAACACACTCTCAATATCTGGAAGAATTTCCTGCTCCATGAGTGACCTTTAATGAAGGGACATAGGGAACTTCCCAAGACAGAATGGAGGAAAAAGGAGTACCCATCATCTAATGGCAAGGCATTTCCCCCTTCACAACGGTTTATTAAATATTTTCCAGTATGAAGTAAGATAGCCAAGGAAGTCTAGGATTTTTTCTAAGCTTGTTCACTTACACAAGAGCAGCAGCAGCACTTTTGCTTCGCTTAAATGGCAACTTTTACTTTCCTTGCTAGCTTAAGTGGCTGTATTTAAATATACAAATTAATCTTGTAAAACAAATTCCAATGAAATATTTTTTATATTTTCTCCTCCCCCCAAACAATTATTTAAAAAACCCACACCAATGTATATGTTAGGCGAAAAGATCCAAGTCCATACAAGAGTCTCAGTCTGTGACTTTGTTCATTCATTTTCTCCAGTAACAAAAAGATGCACATTTTTCTTAGACTGCAGCATTTGAGCAGCACGATCTACACCTACCACGGCAGCCAACTTCTGAGCATCATACTTTGAATAGAGAACAGTACAAGTCCAAGTAGCTTCCTCTCCAGTGGCTATGGCTGTCAGCATATTACACACCTCGCTGTAGAAATGGGGGTAGGTTGGCAGCTCATAGAAAATAAGGTTTCTGATGCCCTTTATTAGGTATCTGAATGAGAGAAAATACCAGTGTCACAATCGTGCATTCTGCAATCTGATTTCAGAAACTTCATTTCATGAATCTAATGAAGTGGGTCTTTGCCCACAAAAGCTTATGCTCCAACACTTCGGTTAGTCTATAAGGTGCCACAGGGCTCCTTGCCTTTTTCATTTCTGTTGTCCACTTATGAAGGTTACACAGCTAATTAAGGACTCAACTCTGACTTCAACTGCATTTTCTTTTGGGCAAATCCTTAACCTCCCTGCCTTAGTTTCTCAAAATACCTCTGGCACACAGGGAACTCATGGACACTAAGTTAATAGCTGTACTTTAAAGATGCAGGGCCAAATTCTGATATTTGTGTAAGTTAACTCCAACCGCATTCACTTTGTCCCCTGAAATGCTAAGTATCACCATTTCAAAAGTGTTACTTAGAATATGGGTTTAACGAGAAAAGCTATTTTCTAAAAGGTCATGAAGGCGAGAGGGAGGGAGGGAGAGAGAGAGAATGTGCTCAAATCAACAACAAAAAGCCCAACACAGCCTGTGGGTTGATCTGTATTACTAAAATTAGCAAGACCCTTATACTCAGATGATGGATCTTAATGAGATAGCTCTGTGATGCTGTATAATTCAAAGGATGCAAGATGTGAGTGTTTCAGGTTAATTTATGGGCATAAAGCTTATGGTTTTTCGCATCTTTATTTAAAGCTGAGATTTTTAAGCTAGTCTACATACTGCTATACGGGGAGATTGGAGATTTGAGCTGCGACACTTTTCCACAGGTAACACAGGGGAGCATTGAGCAGCTGTAAGATCTGCCCCCCACATAACTTCTGCTCAATAGGAATCCCATAATCTATCATGCAAGGTCATTACATCAGCCTCTGGGCTTGTAGCAGAATCCCACATTTGTAATTTCCAGTTGCCTAACTAAATTCCACAAACATTTTCATCTGGAAAACTTATGCCCCCTAAAAACTCTTAGTAGTGCTGTTGTCATTGAACAAATTCCATTATCCTTTTCAGTGAAAGGAAATATCCCAACACAGATGCAGACTGTGATGAAAGGTACTATGAGGCCAATTCTGGGTAGTGCTGTGTTCCTGCACATATCAGTGGAAGTTGGGAGCATATACCATCCCCAAGCATTGAGACCTATACATTAAATATTATTACTGCAATTTTTGTTGGTGCTATTATTTCATGGGTCTCTTACTACAATTGAAGATTTCCCCAAAGAGGTTATACTGCTTCATGAATCAGACTACCCAGCTCCAATCTGTAGCTGCTAACTTAAGGCTAGCATGCTCTTACGGGATCAGATTTTGCCTTCAAATTTCTCTATGTGAATCTCAAAGCAGAATCCAGCCCATGGCTTACCTTTTGTAAAAGTGGAAGCGTTCTGTGAAAATTAAGAACTGCCTCTCTCCCTTGAGAAAGAACTGTCTTGCTCTGGAGATATCAGATTTTTTGCTGTATTCACAGATGTGTATAAAATTCAGCTCTTCCTTCTTGAAGTAATTTCGAAGACGTACATAGTCAAAATATGATGGAACATAAATGAGTGTGTGTGACATGATTGCATCACGATACTCAGGCAAAACTTTGTCAATGAAGAACTGAAACCTGCGTTAAGAAAATGCACATTAATATTATCCTGACTCAATCATCCTTCCAGCATGTAGATGAGCTCTCTTAAAAAGTCAAAGAAACAAAGCCTTATAAAAACATGAACGACCCACACTAATCCCGCAATAAACCCCACAAAGCCTCCAAATGTGTTTATTATTCTGTGTCACAGTCAAGAAAAACTTTAAACTGACCAAGATTTCCAGACCTGAGAAGGTCTCAATGCAAAGTTACATCAGTGCAAGGGGATCTATGATGTTGACTGTAATCTTTTACAAGAACGGGGCAAAGGGGCTTTGCAGGAAAGTACCAGTGCATTCACTTGACTGTGCAGCGTCCAACACTTATCTGATGAGCAGTAAGAGTGCACACTACTATTTTTTTGAGGCACACCAGCCCTGTGTATAGAGTGCACTATGTTCTAAGCACAGTATTTGAAACTGCAGGCCTGGGGAATAGCAGAATGGCTTGGGTGACAGATTACCTTGCATCTATGACAGAAATAGAACTTTCAGCTTCCAGCCTTCGGAAGACATGAGGAAGCTGTACCACAACACGGCTGATGGAACCAATCAAGGGTACGTTCCTAACAGCGACCTGCGGGAGGCAAGTCAAACAGAGAAGTGGTGAAACATACATGGTGTTCAAGAAGCCTTCACGTTCTAATCAGTTTTCAGTGGATGACATGTTCAAAACAGCCTCATTTGTTGCCTGAAGGAACAAGTCATTACAGAACTAGTGGCTGCACTACTTCTTCACAGTATCTGAGTAACTATGCATGACATGAGGTCTAGGGAGATATGCGAGTGGAAAGTAACTCACTGTTTCCTGTATGCCTTTTGCTCATCTTTGATAAAGAAAACTGAGTAGTCATTTTCACTTTATGGTTCTCATGGATGAGTACAATGCTGCAGTATTTGGCTTGAAAGCAAGCTAAAGAGAATGTACCGTGTAAACAAAAACTCGATTGAAACAACCCCCCAGAAACCTCCAGTAGCAAGGTTTAAAAGATTCAATACAAAAATCGATCTTTAAAATTTGACCTGAAATTATTATATCAGGAGTCCTTTTGTGTTTGCACAGTACCTAGCACAATGGGACTCCCTTCTTGTCTGGCTCTTAAGTACTGCCACAATAAACAAAATAATTCAAATTACAATGGAATCTCTGGGGAAGAGAGGTTGCTTAAAGCACTGGTTTGCCACTGGAGATAGTTCTTAGTGCAGGTTGGTACTGTTGGTTAAAAGCTGATGTGGGTTATATGAACTTTTAGCACATGCACAAACAATAAGAATTTCTATTGCTGTTTCTTCATGTTGAAGATGAATATGGTATTTTGTTACAGAGCGAGTGGCCCTTCTAAAGGGAGACAGCTCTCAGCCCACTGTGATGGCAGCTTATTTGCCTCCATAGTTAAGAAAATGAACAATCATCTGATCGATAGCCATGTGACTGAAGCTGGTCTCCAGGGCCTGGCCAATGAGGGGGCCAGAAAGACAGAGGCCTGTTGATAGCCAAAGGGGTCAGTCTGCAGAGTGAAGCTGCAGGATGAGAATCTCCTGCAGTGGTCCATAAGGGAGGGAGCTGTGGTTGTGGAGAAGGCCCAGCTGGAGATTTAGCTTTCCTTTTGGAGAGAAGACACAGGCAGTACAACTGGTCGTATGTTATCTCCAGGGTCTCAGGGAATAGTGAGAAGCAGTACCTCACGACGAGAGGCTGGGCCCAGCTTAAGATGAAGAAGAAGCCTTGTGTTTATTTTGAACTTTCTCTTAACGGCCCCTTTTTGGTTTTATCATCAGACTCATTAAAGCTTTCTTTTTTTATAGGAGAGGGGGTGGAAAGAATTATTAAGGAATGAAGAGGGGAAACTGAGGCAGGGCACAAGAAAGTCACTCCGATCACAAAAGAGCACATAGGAAGCAGCTGACTGATCCGGTTATTCCATTACCTCCAAAATCTAAGACCTATCTGTGAACTCACCTGCCCTTTGTAATTGAAGCAGTGCTTATTGAAGATAGAGTTAATCTGGGGATCTTGAAGCGCACTAAACAGTAGAGTTTGACGATAATACTTTGACCAGTTATTCAGATTCAGCATGCGCACATGAGAAAAATCTACACCGTGGGACTCCAAAGGCAGCAGGTTGATGTGGTTCATCAGGTGCTTTAAACAGAGAGAAACAGATGTATGTAATTTTATACCATGAACGCACACTTTGCAAGTAAGTTAACTGTACTATAAAAGTTAGTGAAAATGGATTAGTCAGCCTACAGCATAAAGACTAGCAGCCTCCAAAAACACAGCTTTCTGGATCCTGTTCACTCAGAGGAACAGTTATTGTCTAGATTTTTCTCTACAGGACCTAATAATTTCATTAGCACTTCAGATTTTAGATGTTTAAAGTGCAGTAGCTTTCATTCTGGATTTGGTCCTGGCTTCTGATTCATTCCCCATGTGATAAGAGTAGTTACTTTCAACAACTTGGGGGTCAGTTCCAGAAATTCTAGGGCCTTGGCTTAATCAGTGAAGCCCAACTGGAATCCCCATAGCACTCAATGATAGTTATGAGCATAGATGGTAAATTCATCCATCCCTGTGCAGAGAAGGCAGTACCGGGCTTAAATGCCACAGCAGTGAATTTCACCCAGAGAAACTACTGGATTGGTATCAATGAATGCACTCTTGTTAATACTCAAGTTTTGTGCTCCCCTCCTCCCCCTCCCAGACACATTACTTGGAAAAGACACTCTCCTAGCTCACTTCTGAAAGCAGAAAGTGTTAACGGTGCTTCTTAATTCTTAGGAATTGATACCTGGGCACCTTACTAGGGTGTTTCAGGCATTGAAATTTGCTTTCTTTTAATAGACTGAGCAATGTATTTTTTCCTGAAAGATACAAACGTAACGTTTCAAATAAATTAGGGCCCTACCAAATTCACACTCCATTTTTTGGGGTCAATTTCAGTCATAGGATTTTTTTTAAATGGTAAAATTTAATTATTTTAGCTCTTTGATCTGAAATTTTATGGTGTGATAATTGTAGGAGTCTTGACACAAAAAGGCGTTGTGGGAGGTGTGCAGCACTGCTACCCTTCTGTGTAGCTTCTGGCTGCAGCATTGCCCTGAGAGCAGCAGCTGCTAGCCAGGAATCAAGCTCTGAAGGCAGAGCTACCGCCAACAGTGGTACAGAAGTAAGGATGGCATGGTATGGTGTTGCTACTCTTACCTTTGCGCTGCTGCCTGCAAAGGTAGGCCCTTAGTCAGCAGCCATCAATCTCTAGCCTCTCAGTTCTGAAAGCAGCAGTATAGAGGAAACATGGGTATGGTATTTCCACCCTTACTTCTGCACTGCTGCTGGTAGCATACTGCCTTCAGAGAAAGGCACCCAGCCAACATTACAACCACAGAGCCGAGGTAAGGGTGATTCGCCTTGTGATACCCCTGCAACTCCCTTTTGGGCTAGGTCTCTCAATTTTAGAAATGCTGGTTTTCCCTGTCAAATCTGTATAGTAAAAATGTTAAGGAGCAGGTATTTGGCTAATCATGTATAAATTACACAATTAGCCGATAAGAGGAGGCGCTTTGCAGAGCCACAGTGGGATTAGCTCTTGGAGCCAACATGAGCTGGGCCTGAGCATCCTAGCTCATGCTGACTCTGAATCATAGAACCATAGAGCTGGAAGAGACCTCAGAAGGTCATCAAGTCCAGCCCCCTGCCCTACGCAGGACCAATCCCAACTAAATCAACCCAGCCAGGGCTTTGTCAAGCCGAGACTTAAAAATCTCTAGGGATAGAGACTCCACTACTTCCCTACGTAACCCATTCCAGTACTTCACCACCCTCCAAGTGAAATAGTTTTTCCTAATATCCACCCTGGACTCCTTCCCCCGCAACTTGAGACCATTGTTCCTTGTTCTGCCATCTGTCACTACTGTGAACAGCCTCTCTCTCGCCTCTTTGGAACCTCCCTTCAGGAAGCTGAAGGCTGCTATCAAATCCCCCCCTCACTCTTTGCTTCTGCAGACTAAACAGACCCAACTCCCTCAGCCTCTCCTCGTAGGACATATGCTCCAGCCCCCTAATCATTTTGGTTGCCCTCCACTGGACCCTCTCCAATGCATCTACATCCTTTTTGTAGTGGGGAGCCCAGAACTGGACACAATAGTCCAGATGTGGCCTCACAAGAGCCGAATAAAGCGGAATAATCACATCTCTGGATCCGCTGGCAATGCTGCTCCTAATGCAACCTAATATCAGCCTCTGCCCAGGCCACTGCGGACAAGGGATGCTTTTTGGTAGCCTCCCCTACCCCCCCACCCCCAAACACAAACCGCTGCTGCTTCTATCAGAGGCAGCAGCGAGGGGGAGTCAGGTGGCACCATGGAGATGGTGCTGGTGGGAACCAGCTTTTAAGCCCAAGCACTGGCTCCTGTTCCCCCTACCCTGATACAGAGGCAGCAAGGAGGCGGTGGCGGGGAGGAGAAGTGAGCAGTCTAGTACTCAACTACTCACTCACATCCCTACTGCATAGTATGGGTAAAAGTGCATAAAAGACCCGATTACATGGTCCATGATGGGTTTTGCCTGGCTGTGAATTTGGTAGGGCCCTAATAATAATTTAAGGAATATTTATGAATTACCTAAATTCAACAACCAGAAGGGTGTTAACTCTCACAAACCAAACTCCAAGGCAGGCAGAATGCTAATTCCTTCCCACATTCCTCGCATATTTACATACAATATTCTATTCTTCTTTCTGACATGAAATGGTGTGTAATGTTACAATAAGCTGTCATGCTGCTGCTATTTTGCCTTCTAGAAATGGATGAACCAATCCATTATCTTTCTCGTAGCGTTGTTCCAAGATTTAAACAGTTGTGAAAGTCCTCACAATACTGTGGATAAGATGTGCTACAGACATGCCAAATACTGAAACCTATCAAGTAAAAGTGCTGAGTAGTACTTACATCTAAGGAGTGCCATACACCTAGCTGACTTCAGCATACATCTGATATTCCAGGACAAAATTACTTTTAGCATGTAAAAAACATTTGTGAGTTGAAATGTAAGTGGAAGGCAGAGAGAAAGAGAGAAACAAAAATTTGACAGAGTTTATTGCTAGAGATGAATTATATATCACTAGTTAGACATCATAGAGAACGCCAAACAAATAAAGTAACATTGAGTGGAAAAAAACCCTACCAGAACATGCTCCCAATTCTGCATCAGGTAAACGTCTGCTTGATCAATTATAAGAATTTCTATTGATGCAAGGAAATCATAATCTCTCTTTTTCTCCCCTTCTGCTCCAATAATAGTCCTCAAACCAAGGGGAGAGGCAATGATGATATCAGAAGAGTAAAATGGCGCATATAATCGCATACTCTTTTGAAGAATAGCAACTCCTGTCCAATAAAAATCAAACATCAGAATTTTCTTGGTGTCTGACTTCTTGTTCACTGTGTTCCTTCCACCCACCAACACAAACTGCAAAGGGTCATGCAATGAAAAAAATCCATAGTTCCCTCTCCTCTCCGCAGTTTATACCACGGGTGGGAAATAAAACAGCGGGGGTTGCCGGGATTAGTCTCTGGTGCGCTGCCACTGCTATATTTACCTGTCCTTCTGCAGGTACCAGTGATTGCAGCTCCTGTTGGCCACAGATTGCTGTTCCTGGCCAATGGGAGTGGCAGGAAGCGGCACAGACCGGAACACTGCTTCCTGCAGCTTCCATTGGCTGGAAACGAAGATCTACAGCTAACAGGAGCTGCGATTGTTGGTACCTGCAGAGACTCCGGTAAATATAACAGTGGGGGCCTGCCTAGAGATGTAAGCGACTAGTACACTCCTCTAAAAGCAGTAGTGACTCAACTAGTCGCTTTCCCACCCCGCCCCTTGCTGCCTCTGTCAGAGAGGTGAGGGGGAGGAGGGGAAGAAGAAGCTTGTGCTGGAGGGAACCTGTTTAAAAACTGGTTCCCCCCAGTACCATCTCTGGGTGGCAGAAGAGGCAAAGGCATAGCGGGGGACCAGTGCAAGCCAGGATTTCCAGCTCACGCCTGGTTCCAAACACTGTGTGTCTGCTTTTTAAATGTATTAAGAGCCACCAGCCACTACTCAATTAGCTGCTTACCCGCAATTTAACATCCCTAAGCCTGCCACCAGCTAACCCTGGCAGACTGGATCCAGCTCACAAGCTGGTATTTGCCCACCCCTGGTTTATATTCTTCTCCCTTAAATCTTGTTGCAATCATATTGTCCTTGGACAGAGGAAGATATCAATACCATTAAAAATATATTAATACCATTCAGAGAGCCACCAGAGAAAGTGGTACTAACACACAACAGAAAGTACTCCTTTCCTTTATAAAGGCAGGCTGACCCATTCTGTTCTCATTTCCATCAATGCCAGTCTGGATTAACTTTATGAACACTGCATGATATACAGACATTCTGGGATGACCGAGGCATCATATCTTGTGGATAAAAATAAGTTAACGAGTTAGTTATCCCTATCACATTTACCTTATGGATATTTGGGCCCACAGTATTCTGTGCCAAAGTTAGACACTTTGGTTAGAATTCCTGACAAATGGCAAAACTCCCACTGACTTCAACAGGCCAGGGTTTCATTCTATGTGTGTTTGAATTAAAATTATTTGTATTTAAAAAGTTCTTGCTGGAAGTTAAGTCAATGAAATAAGCTACCACTGGGCATAAAAACACAAGAGAGAGTTGCAATTTAATGTAATAAAAACCTTGACTTTTTAAAAAACAACAAACTAGCAGAGTTTAAAATGCACTCTACTTCATACTAAAAAGGATTTTAGTGCCTACACAAATGGCAATGGATGCCATCTTAATGCTGCTGCAAGATGACAGATGACGATTTCCTCTATTCAGATATGCATTTTTTCACAGATCATAAGTGAATGAGACAAGTTTTTGCATGGGATGGGATGCTGAAGAAAGTGATTTGGCAGTAGAAAGCAGTGCAACTCTCAGGCCGTGTCTAAACTACACCCCTCTGTCAGCAGAGAGATGTAAATTAGACGTTTTGAAAGTGCAAATGAAGCGGGGATTTAAATATCCCGTACTTCATTTACATAATCATGTTCTAGCACTGTTTTGAACAAGCGCCATTTCGAAACAAACCGCAGTTTAGACCTGGCTTTTCTGACAACAGGGCAATTTTTTAAAAGATCCTATACAATCACCCTGTTGTCGGAAAAACTGCATCTAAACCGCAGTTTCAGTTTCCAAATGGCGCTTGTTCGAAACAGCGCCAGAACGCGATTAGACGTAGCCTCAGTAGAGGACAACTATTTCCTGATGGTTGGAGGCAACAGTTTGCATTTCCACAACATTATCAAATATCTTTGAATGCCAATTTATCTTTCAAAGGACAATAATTTTAAGAGCCTTTTTTTTAATCTGTCCAGATGAGTTCGGGTAAGTAGTTGTTCATTGTGACATCAAGCTAATTCTATGCATACTAAGCTTCCAAATCAGCATGGAATTTCAATTTATTAAACAGTCTTGACATTTTCTGCTCAACCACTATTCACATCATTTCCCAACCCTTTACATGCATGAAAATGCTGCTGGAAATCTGATTCAATACAGTAAAAAATTGCTTTTCTCATTACAGAATTGCTATTTTTTCCTCAAGCCATTACTGATTAATAACATCAGTGAAAACAAACTGCTTTAAACAGAAGAAACTATGGTCACCAGAAGTGAAAAAGCCCATCCTTTCTTTCATTGGGACTAGGGAAATCCACATTGCAATTGAGAGACACTGGGTTCTAAAGTATATTAAACTTGATCTGACTCAAGAAGCAGAAAAACTTTTCACCAAAATCAACCAAACAAAAGTCACCCTTGACCAAGAATCAATTTTTCAAAAACAATTAAACCACATTTTTAAAAGTGACTTAAACACTTAGGAATCTAATTTTTGTTCGAAGTCAAGAGAAATCCTAAGTTGCTTAGGAAAAGCATATCACCGTTTAATTTTTTGAGCTAAAATATTGATTAAATTATTTTATTACCTATCCTGAAATGGTCATCGATGTTGCCTGCAAACACAGCTTCATAATCTTCAGGTCTTTTCAGGTTAGGAGGTCTGTCGGTTGGATCAGAACCAAACTCCCCTTTGAAGCGCTTTTTGTTACTTACATCTATTTTTTTTTTACTCCCTGACTCGAGGAGGCTGATGAAAATCTGCACCACCCGTAAAGCAGATTCACGGAAAGGCACTACTATCAGCACCTGTATGGACCAAGAGACTTATTTAAAAAACAAACAAACAAAAAAAAAAAACACCACACACACAACTTCCTTGGGTAAGGAGGCCTTCTCTTGAGCACAAAAAAAAAAAAAAAAAAAATACATAGATGGCTGAATTTTATTATTACACACAGTACCCTTTACTGTGCAATTTGGCCATTTCCCAGCAATTAAAGGAAATACATACGGAGCCCTTGCCAATACATTCCAAGCTAGAGGGTTGTGCCTGCAAGAGAAGACTGACTCAACAGATACGTTTCGATCCTGAAGTTGGCTCAGTGATGTTCTTCAAAATGCACTTCCACTAAAACAGGCCCTAGATGACAGCTTCCAAACACCTTATAACAAAATCAGCTGTAAGTGACTCAGAGCAGGAAATGCAATAAGGAGTCCAGTTAGCCCCCTTTTCTGTGGGGAAAGAGAAACCCTTGGAAGTGGAACCTGTGAAGCTCTACTGTACAATGGATGCCCAGGTGTTTACCCCAAGTTATAGTCTGGTGCTCAGCTCTGCAGAGGGCACTCGGGTCATTAGTATGCAGGGCATGGACATGGGCATGGGCACGGGCACCAAAGAATGTGCTATTCTGCAGATCTTCCTGTTCTCAAGCCATAAGCTAACAAAGGCCTGTACACAGGTTATCCAGCCAAATGGCTGGAGCAGTATCTATGCAGCTCCTTGGACTTGGCACTCTGTTGGCTCTAAGTTTGTGCCTTAACTTTTACTAGAACCAAATACTCTAAATAAATAGATAGAAGAAAAAAGCCCAAACAGGATATTTTTAAAAGGTGATTTGTCCACAACATACTGCAACAAGCCAACACTGGAACTATTAAACAAGGCCATTGACACTTCCAGTGACGAATACGTGCAAACTGAATCCAGCTGTCTAATCAGTTTATGGCGGCTTCATGCCAGGCTCTCTATCAAGAGCATAATTTAATAGCAGGACAGCTCTAATCTGGGCCTCATCACCAGTGAAACGGAAAAAGTGGCCTCACTGGAACCTGATGGGACCAGATCCCCCACAGCCAATACAAACAGATCCCTGCTGTTTTCAATTGACACAGCATCAGAATTATGTAATAACAGCAGAGGAATTCCGTCTGAAGCAAAGCGTTACCTGTAACAACAGTAGTGCTTGCGAAACAGGGGAAAGGGAGTAGGAACTCCTAATTATTTAGCTGAAGATTAGTGACTATACAGAACCATATCCCCTGGGCCTAAGAGCAGCCAGTGATTATCTGGGGCAGTATGTATAGATGTTGATCTCTAAAAGCACAAACAATATAAGTTTTAAAGGGAGATATGGAGGCTGTGGAATGGAATAAGAACAGCAATGGAATAAGAACAAGGAAGGAGACACACATCAATCTGTCATGGCTCTAGAAAAAAAAAAGGGGTCTCCTTGAATTAGACTGCCTGCAAAACGTGCAAACTAAAGTTAGCCCTTCTCCGAGACACTTTACCTTTGCCCCTGGCAGAGAGCTTCAAGGCAACATGATCAGCCAGTGTGGAAGGACAAAAATTGAAAACATGTCACAAGATATGATGAGCTACAGGAAGAGCCCAGGATAAACAATTATAACATTTGCATGGCAGAATCAATTACCCCAGAAAAGATTAAGCTAATGCAGTCCTCCCACCTTAGGTCTAGTGAGTCCTTGGTCCCTCAAGTCATCACTCTCAACTGTTGACTTGTGATCTCTTCGTTTGGCATTATTGCTCAGGACCTGGGCATTTGCCTTCAGGACATGATTCACTGCATGAAGACAGTAAGTATGACGGACTTCTTCCCCATTCCCCAAGGCAGTTCTTTCTGGATAGAACAAGTCCCTGTAGCAATTCATAATATAAAAGAGTTCTTTTTGCAACAGGGTAAATGGGTGACTGCTCTGTTTAGTCCGTGTGGATAAGAACTGGCGATTCACTTCTGGCCAGGTAGATTCTAAAGTCTTATGAAGATGAAGCCGTTTCAAACCAGCTTCTTTACATGGCTTAAAAGTTTCTGACTGCTGTAGTGCAGAAGAAAAAACTAACTGGCCTAGCGTTGGCCACTGGAAAAGAAAAAGAAAAATCCAACATTAGCTCCACACAACCAAAAATATGCATTGCTATAGCAGTTATTTTAACAACATACATGAAACACTAATCTCTCAAATTTTATACAAATTAAAAACCATTCTTCCTTCCATATGCACGGTCTCTGGGGCTTGGTCTACATTAAAAGGTTTTATTGAAAAAAGGTACTTCAGATGGGGACCATGAAAAACTCACACCTCTGACCAATGTAGCTGCCAACAAAACCCCCACTGTTTGCTACATTTGCAGGACAACTTCTGTCAGTGTAAGCTGCATGTATACCACAGGGCTAGAAGAGCATTGCAATGCTCATAGAGTCTCCATAGTATAGACATATCATTTAGTTTCTTGGTAAATTATTCATGTATGCACTTTTTTAAAATCAAGGAACAAGTTCAGAGGCGATGTAAATTACATGTTAGTTGCTGTGTTTTAGAGAGTTTAACCAGGAAGCATAATCTAGGGTGATTTACATTCTGAAAGACCAGAAGTGATGAGTGCAGTTGGGGAAGTAACTAGAAGGTACAAGTTAAATAAGATGTTAGCATCTTCTAGCCTTTCACCACATAAGTTGCACCAATTTAACCTCCTTTAGTCTCACTTGAACACAATTTACCAATGTGCATCATTCATCAATTTATACTTGCTCTATATCTGTATCTATGCCCATCTTTAACAAGAAAATCATGGCTTACCATAAGATTCTGATTAAATATCAGATTCCAGCCTGAGTAACAGTAAGACAACACAACATATGGATAAAAATAAATGATAAAGAAAGAAGGCTATTGTATTTTAATGCAAATTATTTCTCTCTCTAAGAAACTTCTTTAAAATTATGACCATTCATTTTACAACCTAAATATACTATACTACAATCTATTAAAATAATTTAATTTAAAGAAAAATAACATTCAAGCAGTACATTGTTGTTCCCACAGTTTAAAAGAAAATAAGACCGTTGCACTGATCATAAGTACCTGAACAACAGTTTGACAAAATGCTGAGCCCAACTTTTGACTGTAATAGCCTCTTCTGCAAGTGCAGAGAGAATATTTTCTTTATTTCAGTTCATTCAACTAGAAAAAGCAGGATATGAGTACAACAACGAGGTGTGAGTGGATATCTATTAATTTCAAAGATGTAAAGGGCATGCTGACCAGAAACAATCAGTGCAACTCATTAGCTACAGATATGCTTCTTTTATTTATTAATCAGTTAGTTTTGAATGCAAAATATGTTTTAATACACTTGCTTTTTAAAATATTATGCATACAAAAAATTAAGGTAATTTTAATTGCTTACTAAAAAAGTTTTAAAACAGTTTTATAGATTTTTGAAACTAAATTCTAATTTCCATCAAAACGCAGCTTGACAAATCACGAATAAAAATTAATCTATTGAAAAATTTATCATTCGCCACTTTCTAACATATTAAAAATGTAAAAATTACAAATCTATTCAGATATGTTAACTCTCTATATTACTTAAATAAATGTGTTTTGCATATATTTTCTACAAGAAAAAAGTAGCATCAAATTATGCCAATAAATTTGAATTATTTATATCAAGATTTCTTGCTTGCTAATTAAAAATCAGTCACTTAAAAATTAATCTATGCTGGTGTTGAATAACTGGATGCTCGCTTGCTCGAGAGAGAAAAAACTACTTTCATGGAGATATAATCAACATGGCACTAGAAGCAGAATGTCATGGACATGAATGATAGGATTCAGTGGTCCTAGGACAATGACTATCAAGATGCATCTCATGCAGTTCATTATAGTGAGTCAGTACTAGGATTACAAAACTAATGATAATTGTTAAGTAAGATTACAACTGAGAAAAAACATCAATTTAAAATCTGAAATAGATCACACACCCTTCTCAATAAAGGCTGCACCTGTATTGGAAAGTGTCTAGCTCAGTTTGAATGCTGTGGCAATTCAAGGAATAAAAAATTGTATTCATTTTCTAAAATATTTTCCATCTATCCAGCTTTGGTTCCTATTCATTACCAGATTTTCTAAAACTACTAGGAGAACAGAGTTGATGGCTTCAGGTTCCCTCTTGGATAATTTTTCCAAGATGTTACATATGCTGGGCATTTTTAACACTCCCTCCTCCACCCCCACCCAGGAAACAGAACCCTTAGGCTACGTCTACACTACATGCTTCTTGTGCAAGAAGCCTTTTGCACAAGAGTTTTTGCGCAAAAACTTTTTGCACAAGAGCACGTCCATACCTCAAAGCACATCGCAAAAGCGATGTGCTTTTGCGCAAGAGAGCATCCACATTGCATGGATGCTCTTGTACAAGAATGCTCTGATTGCCATTCAGCGAATGGCAATCAGAGCACCTACACTTCTTCTCTGGAGCATCCGCGCTTGCCTTTTCGCACAATAGCTGTAGCACAAAAAGGAGTTATGCCTCGTAAAAGGAGGTTTACCTATGCCGAAAAACGCCCTCTGTTCCGCCATTTTACTGATCATTTACTTGCACAAAAGCATATTTGAGGTGTGGATGCTCCATGGGTTTTTGTGCAAAAACACCTGGCTTTGCGCAAAAAACCTTGCAGTGTAGATGTAGCCTTAGTGACAAATGCTTGTATTTGAAAAATTAGATCAAAGAGCAGATCTGTTAAGTGTGGCTCATTGTGCAGAGGAGGAGTCTTGTCTTAGGTGTGAGATCCCAGATTCAAATCCTGGACAAGCACAAGTTTTCAGCCTAGCTAGAGCAGCCCGTGACTGTCATGCATGCGGGCCCACTGGTCAAAGTAGTACCTGTCCGTTGCGGGTCCCTCAGAATTGGAGCAGCCTTCTGCCCTCAGCCTCCAGTCCCCACCAGTTAACTGGAACCAGTTAACCTCTCACATGCCTAATTTTAACTAGGCAAAACAGAAAAATCTCAGCAACAATTCAGTCTGATTGAATGTTGAAAAGAGTTCCAACTGATACAAAATATTCTGAATCTATTTCTGAGCAGACACTGGAATTTGGAATAACATTAATCCTTTTGTATACTTTGCAAGCTAAAAATCAATTTCATTTAATGCAGGCACCTTGTATAAGTTCATGATGGAGAAAACAAGCACATCCTTACCTTTAGCTGAACTGTATTTTTAGGATGTAACAAAATGTTTTCTATTTCTTTTTCTTCCAGTTCTTTGGTCATATGTTGTTTGAATGGATCTGTTTAAAACACAAGCAGCTGTTGTTATTCTATCTGGAATAAACATTCTGAACAGATTTGCAAATTGAGGCAAACATATTTTTAAGCCAGGTAACGTAACTGCTAGAGCAAATGATTTTACAGCGTTTGAAGGGAAGAGACATTTTCACTTTTACAGAATAGCAAATACTCTGCACATAAACAAACATTTTAAAATTGCACCACTTTGGAGACAATGGCGCTTCAACCCCACAACAAGTGAGACAGGGACAATAACAACTGAGATTAGTGGACAGCATTCCAAGGGTGTAGTCATTTTCCATCTAACCTGGGCTTTTGTACTGCTGTACATCACTTAGCATCTCCCATCATACGAAAAAATAGTAATAATGGGCCAGTTTCTTTTTTCCTAGAAAGCCATGTCTGGGATAGGGTACTTTTGATCAATTATGTCAATACTGTTCTAGTTATGGGAGAGAAGCAATTGAAAAAAATCCTGCTTTCAAAAAATTTCATTTCCGTAAAAGATAGTGAATACTCTGATTGATCTAATCTCTCCTACCATCCTAAAGAACTTCTGAGATCTTTAAAGGTCTGATTTTCAATTAAGTTAAGCAAGTTAATTGCACAAGCTGATCAGGTAGCAGTCCGTACACAACAGCCTGCACATTCATAGATACAGCTTTTTGAAAATCAGGCTCGGATAATAATTGCATCACATGGTATTGCTCATTTCATAAGTAAAAATATTCAGTAGAGAATCCTAATGCTAATGAGTTGAGGTTATTTTGTGCTCAGAATTCATGGGGTTTTCTAAACTGTGGAAATACTATGCATATCATCCCATCAATGTCACTGAAGAGAATACTACTGTAAAGATAAGAGCATCCCTGATTTGTTACAGTTTATTCTGGTTCCAGTATTGGCTGGCCACGGAAGGGGCCTGATATCCCGCAGTGACTTCCTGAAAATGGTGCTAAGGACAGAACAGAAGTTTGTTCCCGGACTGATGTACCCCATCTGTTGTTCTACAAGACTTGGTTTCCCTTTCTACCACAGGTTAGAGAAGCAACTTGCAGTCCACAATTTCACAAAGAAACATCGTTTATCAGCTGAACAATGACACTGTGATGGCCAAGTATGTATTTGAAAAACTGGTAGTTCCTATTAAAATGCAATGCCCACAACAGAAGCAATATTCCCAGGATAACAAGAATGAACAGTTACTCTCATCACCTGGCTCTTTGATGCTTCCATCCTACTTTAGCAATTTAGCAAATTCCAACCCAGATTTAATATCAACTGCCATTGTAAGGAGACAAGCCAGTGTCACCAGGGATGCTGCAAATATAATTTCTCTCAAATTATCCCATCTAATAGCAAAACCATACAGCATAAAACAGGCACAGAAATTCTGCAAGTGCCCATGTGTGATATGGTACCTTTTCACTGCACATGGTATTGTGATTCAAACACAGGAGTTTAGGTTCCACATCTCCGTTTGATTTAACATTTAGAGGAAGATTCTCAGCTTCACTGCTAACAAGCACAGCACAGAACGCACAGCCTTTGGTGTCTTCAAGCCGGTCATTACTTAGACGGTGCAAACAGCATGTCTGCATTACAGCAACTTCCTTGGGCTGGATCATTGCCCAAAATCTACAGAGTATGCTCCTGGCTTGCATGTTACATAAGGGCTTCTGAGGGGATGCTCAGAAGTCCACCTTATGCCTGTTCTAGTGCCAAATGAACCCTCTAGCTACACACTGATGTAAAATGCCTAAAGCCCTCTCCAGCCCTTTTTCTTGGCATTAAAGGGGCCACAGCAGCAGTAAGAATCTCAGCCATTGTTTCTTGAAATGCAGGAGTTGAGTACAGATGGCATCTACATTCTCAAAATTCAGTCTTTGTTTGCATTACCTGCATGACCTGCGTGTGGGTAAATTCAACATTCTGCTCTCTCCTACCAGCAGTCCCAATCATGTCACTGTTAACCGGGGAATAAAGAGATACCCAAGTCTGCAGTCAATGACTCTATACACATTACCAGGTGAACTTCAAATGTAGCTTACATAGACATAACAGACTTACAAGTCCCATAACAGGGATGTTATGCGAGAATTCAAAGGCTAGGTATCATATGTTTAAGGAATTTGCAGTCTTGCCATGTGTGGCTATTGTAAACAGGTGTAAACTGTCAAACTACAGGAGCCCTACTAGTGTCAGCTAACTACACAAACCAATACTGTATTTTACCTTCTGAAACCATGACAGAAGAGTTTTTCTCTCTCTCATCTGCATTGTAATCACCAGTCTCCTCATCCAAGAAATTGGTTTCCAAGCTAAATTCAGATTCAAGTTTCACATCAGTGAACTCTTCACTTGCTCCATGTTTTGGGTCACTAGAGGTATCTGCTCTGTTGGCTTGCTCCTGCTCAAGCGTCTGCTTTGCTGTATCTTTAGCTGTGAATTATTGAAGAAAGAAATGAGTTATGTTCTCCTAAAAGTCACTCTGTATGGACAGCTGACTCTTGCTGGTTACATTTCAAGTCCTACTTTAGCTACTGGTTATTTTTCTCAATATTCTATCCAAAAACAAAACTGGGTTGTGTTTTACAGTAACAAAGGCTCACAGTGACCCTCACACGTGATGCCCTAGAGATTATTTTAAACAACATCTTTGCAGATGGGTGCTTAAGCTGCCAAACAATACCATTTTAATAGCTACAATTTTGTAAAGCTGCCACCTCTTCACTAGAATTCTTTGCTACTCAACCTTGGAAATGAGACTCTCCTTGTGACGAAGGAGGTTTCCTTCCATCTCAAATATTTTGGCCTTTAGAGGGCAAGAGGAAATGTGGGGAGTGTCTTTCTCCGTCTCAATCAGTGAGGGGTTTTTGTTTTGTTTCTTACTTCTGTGCAGCCCCCGACTGATTTTTCTGTGGATCAGCAGCCCCCGACCCAAAAAAGGTTCCCCATCCCTGCATTAGACAAACAAAAAGTACCTTCTTCTTCCTTGTCCTGCACATCACCCTCATCTTCTTTATCAGCTGAATCATCTACATCTTCCCCCTCCTGAAACTCTTCACTGCCTGTCTCTGCCTCATCACTCTCACCATCTTCTTCAGACTCGTTTTCATCATCATCTTCATTGTTGGCATCTGGAACTGTCTTTAATGTGGCCAGTAGCTTGTGGTACACTGAGACCTGTTCTGGGTCACTCTCTCCATCACTTTCTGAATGTGAGTGATCGGAATTCTCAGGCTGAATGTGAAAACAATGTTCCAGAACATACATATTACTCCTTCCACATGTCAATGGGCATGTATCCTAAAAGCCTAGTACATATAGTGTGGCTACATACACAAACCTGCAGTATGTTCATTTAATGTTTGTTTCCAGCCCAACACCTCCCATTTTAACTTTTGCATTCCATGATTCTGCTCTTGAACAGACCCAAATAGTTTAACTGTGTCTCTGTTTTAAACCTACCACATCTAATTAGGTCCTGATTTAACTCAATGGGCTTGTCCAGAGTGTAGAGTAACACAGAGTTTGACCATGTCAGCCTAAGCCATTGTCAGAGGGAGGTCAGAATGTTTGCAGTCTCCACAACTATGGAGTTCCACTAAACCGCTGCAGGACACTCAAAAGCGCAGCCCACATAGGAAGGGGCCTGTTACAGGTTTCTATCAGTGTAGCTCACTTCGTACTCAGTAAAAAGTCACTGCCTCAAGGCCAAATACGAAACATCTGACTTTCAATGAGGCAAACTCGATCTCTGAAAGACTAAGTCAGCAAAAGTCCCTTATAATGACACTACAGAACTTGGAAGCAGGCCAACCTTGACTACCTATGCAATATTCAGAATACTAGCTCATCTGCTATACCAGACCACAGCATGATCCAGTGTAATAATGTTTGGCTAGGACTGCAAATAAATTTCACGCTGCAACCTTCATTACAAATCCACATGACTATGTAGGAACACTGACAAGCATCCCCATAAAAGTAAATTTTCCTTTTCAGCTCCTGAAATCTTGAAGAGAGAGGCAACAGAGATACTGTACGCAACAATGTGAACTATGGCTGATGAAACAAACCAGCAAAAGAATCCAATCTTCACCATAAAGTTGTGAAACCGCTTCATGTACCTCAAAGGGGACAGAGGAGAGGATTCCCTTTTCCTGACCAAAACAAAATGAAAGCACTACAGATCTAGAGCAATGGAACAAACTTGAATGAAATCCCTTCACTCAGTGAAAAAATAGTTTAACTGGAGAATGAAAATCAAATTGCCTACCCTATAACGTCCATGAGTAAGACAGTTACAAGGGACACTCTCGAGTTTTATTTTATACTTATTAACACTCAATTTTAAAGTTTTACTTTTCACCATTATTGCTGGGTGACAATAGAACGTAGACATTTTACACTTAGTTTTGATGACAAAGAGACTCATCAGTTTCTACTCAATTTTACTTCCTGTTCTAGGCAATGCTAAAATGTTTGGATTGCAAATCTGTCAGAGAAATGTTTAAAATCAAACAAAACTGTTTTTAATGATTTTTTAATTTTACTGGAAGTATTCTACAAGCAGGTTTTTACCTAAATTTTAATCTAGATTTGGCATCTAAATTAGCTCCATACTGTCTAATGCTTTACACTAGTTTCATGACCATCAATAACATTGCAAAGTGGGCTATAAAAATAGTAATAGTGTATTACCAGCTCACAAATTTCAGTTGTTTCTTCTCTTCCAGAAACCCTGAAAAGACATAATTAAGAAAAATAAATTTCAATTATCTGACCATTTTTCCACATATGACATAATAAAATGATGGGATGAGGAAAAGGGAACACTAAATATGAACCCCCAAAAAGTCTCAGTGTAATTAAAAGCCAACTTTGAAAAAAAGCTAAATGTTACAGCATGGGCTAGATCTTTAAGGGGAACTAGACTCAACCATAGCCATGCCTAGTACTCCACCTCCCAAGTGAGTTTTTTGGGTCAGGTGCCAAACATCACATAATGATAGCTCCAAAGGTAGGGCTTCCTGTAAGAATGACCCTTCAAGAATGGCCATCTTCAAGAGGGACACCAAGAGCTAGGAAAGACCTAAGAATAGCCTAGAGTGGGTGACCAAGAGCTCTAGGGAGATGTGGACTGATGCCTTGATACAAGGGTAAAAGAGAGATAAAGAGACACACACTTATAATTTAAAGGACCAGAGAAGCTCCTTATAGCTGTGGTGTCCACATGTGGCTATTTGGCCAGTTGAATGTGACTAGTTCACTATAGAGGCTACTGCTTCAGAACTGGTTGGATACTATGGTCCTAGAAGGTAATCTGTTCTCCATACCAGCCAGCCAGAAAGGTCTGGCAAGACTAAAGCAATCTATAGAAAGAGGTAGAAGAAAAAACTCTGAGGAGTTAAGAGCCCTGTGCCAGGGAGGAGGGACATTGAGCCTATAAAATGCAACTGGGTGATTTTGGCTTTGAGTTAACATAAAATAACAGTTTAATGAAT